AACTGTTTCTAATCCAAATATATTTATGATTTTTTTCAAATAAAAATCTATATAGCTCGCAAGTTATTTATCAGAATGACTAATCACAAATACATTGGAGTGAATTTCCATGGTAAAACATGGGAAGAGGCATTGCATTCATAGCAAGAAAAACCATTGAAGTATACAACTTATGAAAACACAAACGCTGAAATAGAACTGGAAGAATGTTCTGCTCTATTATTCCCTAAATGAGAATAAAGTATACAACTTTTCAAGTTTTTGTCAGCAGTAAGCAAGAATAATCTACCTTCAAACTACAAAAACAAGGCCACCACACACAACGTGCAGGAGCTTACTATAACTAATATGCCTGGAAATTAATTAGTGAAATCCACTGTTTAATTTTTGTTTCACTTAGGATAAGGCAAAATCAACAGAGCAGGCATCCATTTCTAACCAAATTCTACAACTGAGTCTAGGGGCTCACTCAGCTGACTGGGCTGGACCGTCCAATCTGAAACCCCGGCCACGCCCACGACCCCTGCCCCGTCCTCGCCCTGCATTATCAAATAGTTTTAATTTCAGATGACGATAATAACCCGGAGAGCATATATCATTTTTACACAATTTCAGCAGTTCACTGTGCACACTATTGTGCACTTCAGCATCACTTAATTGACACAATGAACTCATCACAGAGACATCCAAGAAATAACTCACTGTTCATCGTTTCCTCTCTCCTTTTCTTTTTTTCAAATTCTTAAGAATGGCATTGCTGTGATGGTAAACAAGTTTTGTGATAAATGATTACACTGAAATAGAAAATGATTATACTAGGTGCGTTATTTTAAAATGCTAAACCCAGCAAGCATTTATGAAAAGAGAGAGAAGCAAGGAACAAAACAAAAGGCAAAAGTTATAAAATGTGAACAAAAAGCTATACTGGTTTCTGGATACTTCCAAAGATGGAAGTCAAAATATTTTCAGAGATGTGGTTATAAGAAAATAAAAAATGCTTGATTTGGATTGTTAAATCAACAAACAAAAAATCATGCCAGCATATAAAATGAATTGAGCAGTACCATGCAGTAAAACTGTGGAAGAATTCCATGATTCAATGCAAATGAGAGAAAGATGTGCAACTGTACAAGGGAGACAATTAGAAGCTTTCTTTAATGCAAAGCTCGCCAATCATCAGCAAGAAAAGAGGTTTTCTACATTATTCTGTACCTGTTTCACATTTTATTCATAACATCTCAAAAATCTATTGAGCAAGAGTTGAAGTTACAATAACATAATTAGAAATCTTACCACTGCCTTGGCCAACAAATGCTCCACCACCATAGTCATTATAACCACCTGACTGTTGTTGCATATATCCACCACCATAACCTCTTCCACGGCCACGATAACCCCGTCCTCTTCCACGACCTCTGCCCCTGCCACCATATCCATACCCACCATCCCTGCCACCATATCCAGGCCCGCCATCCCTGCCACCATATCCAGGCCCATCCCTCCCGCCATCCCTGCCACCATATCCAGGCCCGCCATCCCTGCCACCATATCCATACCCACCATCCCTGCCACCATATCCAGGCCCACCATCCCTGCCACCATATCCACGCCCACCATCCCTGCCAACATATCCACGCCCACCATCCCTCCCACCATATCCACGCCCACCAACCCTGTCACCATCTCCATTGTGCTCCACCACTCCATTGCTATTATTTCCTGTTTACAGAAAAGAAATAAAGTTATGGTTACTTTCCCAAAATAAAAGCAGATATAATGAAAGAGATACACAAATGGCAAGGAAAACTATTAGTCCATGGTGGAAAAGATCCATAAGCCAACAATAGAACTTGAAGTGAAAGTTGCTATTTAGACATCAGCATACCACCAAAATTTTCTGTTTATCTATTATTCACATAAGCAGAAAAATATTACAGAGATCAAACAAAAACAATTTCTCTGTTCAGGGCATCTAGCAGATATATCTAATTGCTTCGCCAGAGTTGTTAATGTCCAATGTTCACTGCCAGAAATGGTGACACCTGACAGCTTATCTGTACACTCATTTAACCAACAAAAAGTGAAGCAGTTCAGGTGAGGTAACGGAACTGGGTACCTCAGAATCCAATTAAAAAGAAATTGCTCAGCAACAGCTCATATACAGCATGGCTGGTTTACTTTTGACCCCTAAATCCCAGCCAGTATTGCTTCAAAAATCCATTGCCTAATATAAAATATCTACTCGTTAAAAGCAACATGGCATGCAATACACAGACATTCACTCTAGGAGCCATAAATTTGATAGTAAATAGTTAGAAACAAAAAACACTTGCCACCGCCCCCAACCAATATAAAAAGAATTAACATATTAAACAATGTTAAGGTTGCATCATATATTACCTCTACCTCTAGCAATCCCTCGACCACCACGCCCCCTCCCCTGCCTCCGAGGAGAGCCACCCTCTATATCAACAAAAACAAAGAAAAAGTCAATTGACACACCACAAAGGGATTGCAATCAGAAAGAAAAGTGAAAGATTTTGCATTACCTCCTTCATAATCATATTCAGCCAAAGGTTTCACTTGATCAGCTGGAATTGGTGATTGATAGCTAGAGGCGAAGTAATAAAATGGTATTAAAACAAGGACTAAAAGTTCAATATCATACATTCTTACACATTTATGCATGCGGGCAGATGTACACATAGGTACATTAGAGACTGCAGTGAGATGTTATTGACTAAAATTTGACTCAATGAAACCAAAGTGTGGATTTAGGGACACAGCAAGATTCAACTCACCCTGTGGAGGATGTATCCAGTTCCTTCTTGGATAGAGTAACTGTTATCACTGATACATGACGAGTGGTTTCCAGGCTGCATTACCAAGAAACAAATCAGCCAATGCCATTAATAAACACAACACACCATAGAGGGGAATAGAGAAAGTTCATGAGAAATCTTACGGGAGAAGACCCTCCTCTAGTGGCTCCCACATGTCAGTTATATCAGTAGAACCAATAGATGTGTTCTGATGAAGACCGGCAATCCTTCTCTGAAACAGAGAGGAAATTCTCAGCATAACAAGGTTCTGATGATAGGTTGCATCCATATTCTTGTGCCTCCATGTTTATGTGAATGAAAAGTTGTGGAAGAATTGAAAAATACAAATTAAACAGGGAAAGCAGCAAAACATAATCACGTTACCTTAATCAATTCAGCAATCATCACAGTCTTGTTTATAGCTCTGCCCATGGCCTTGAGAGAGATTTCATCAGATCCTTTCTCCTGTTAAAGCACGACAAAAAATAAAATACCACCTTCAAATCCAAAGCTATGACGCAAGTAAATGAATAGTTTACTTATAGATACACCACCAATTCTTCGATAAGGTGGGTTTGCAAAAACTGATGAATGCCAATAAATATGCAGTTTTAAGCAGATAAGAGCAATAGCAACCGTGAATCTCATTTAGCACGGGCACAACAAAGTGAAACAAAGCTTTCTAAAGGACCATCTGCTAATTTCACCCACAGTACTACACAGGTATCAAAACTTAACAAATCACTGAAGCCTTTGAGTAAGGAAAAAAACTACTGAGATTTATTATGCTATGCTATTGCAGTTTTAATTGCAAAACAAAACAACAAACAAATATATATATATATATAAACAGCCTAAAAAGCATTTTTGAAAAAGAAAGAAATAATACCAAGCACGCGCGCACTCGACTTGTGAGGTCAATTTATTAATCAACATTGTAAAATTAAAAAATAATTTATCGAAACAGAGAGAGAAGAACCTGAAAGAGCGTAGTGGCATAAGTAATGTAGTTCCTCATTCTGCCTTGAGTAGTAATGCGAATCTCATTCTCATTGATCGGCGTTTCGTTTCTTGGCTTCTCTACCCTCTGGTACCGATCCATTCTCTATGACACCAAAAATACACACACTGTTTTCAGTTCTCGCTTCAATAAATCACGCACAGAGATCTGAAATCACTGAAAACAACGACGATTTGAAGAAGCTAGGGTTTTCTTTGTTAGTTACTACGGTACCGTTTTGAGTAGCAGCGCAAGTTCCTCGTGTTTTATTTTTCAGTTGCCAGGAGATTGTGGAGATAAGACGACGGAGGTAGGGTTTCTTCTTTTGTTTTTTGAAAAGGAGGGCGGTCGCTTCGGCAATGAGACCGCGTTATTAAACTGATTTTCTTTATTATGACGTGGCTCCTTCGGATATGAATTGTAATTGTACTTTCCTCCCATGTTTGTTGCCACGGAAAGAAGCATATCTGCCAAGCGATGTCGTTTTGGATCTATTAGTAGGGATTTGACAACCTGGGAACACACTTGTGTTCTTCACTTTTTGTTCTCTCAAAGGATCCAAACACTTATTAAAGTTTTCTTTTTCATTTTTAGTCATTTTTTCCCAGTTTTTCTTTCCCAGTAAAAAATTAAAAAACATGTTCATTTTTTAAAGTTTTAGAATATTTTTCTAGTATGAAAAGCTGAAAAATATGTTCATGTTATATTGTTTTTTATTTGGAGAAAAATAACAAAATAAAAATCGTGTTCAAATTAAATATATTTTTATGATATTCGTTATATTTTGACACGCATAATAATTTTTATCATTATTTTGAGAGAGAATTCTCATCTAATTAAATTGAATGAGATACTAAAAGAATAAAAATAACAATATAATATTTCCATAGTTCGAGTGTATCAATAATTAAGTTTTATCCCCATAAACAATATTAATTAAAATACAGTAAGTTACTAGTGACTATTATAATGATTCCATGTAAAATGGTTTCCTAACCAAACTCATTTGTTATTGTTGAATGCCTTCTTGCACCATGCCAGTACCATCCTCTTCTACAAATTTCAATCATTCTCCATAATATTTTATAAATAATTGATCAGATAAAAATAGAAGTTTAGTAAGAAAAAAAAAGGAGGGTATTTTCATATATTTTTTTATTTCTATTTTCTATTGTCTTGGCGACATGGCCGAGTGATAAGGCCGGGGACTGGAAATCCTTTTTCCCAGTTCAAATCTGGATGTCGCCTGATCAACAAAAAAACACGAAATTCCTTGCTTTGTTTTGCTGATATATTGTCCCCAATAGACAGCAGAGGAAAAAGATTCGTGATATTTCCAAGAGCTTATTTTGTTTGCGCTTTGCAGAAAATGTTACACACATGTAAATAAGTCTGGTCATATGAAGTCATTCACCTACCAATTTTCAAGTAGAATACATTGAACTGGACTGACAAAGGCACATGCATAGGCATATGAAATTCATCTACACACATCCTTCAACATTGCACAGTAGAATAGGAAACCATTCCTCAAGTTATCTGTTAAAAAGTTATCCCCTCCGGAAAGAGGAGATAATTGAGGGCTCTGGGGTTTACTCACTGCATAAATAACATACAAGAAACCAATATTTTGCTCTCAAGGAACCATTTATGCCGCTAAAAGAGCTAGCAACCTTCTAAGCTACAAAGATTGCAGCCATTGCACATAAATATATATCCAAAGCAAGTCAAGGTCATGAACCCTTTCATGGCCGAAATCAAAACACGTCCTTTATATCCTTCTATTTTTCTTGAAAACAGAAAGACCACCACATAATTTTGAAGCTCGTAACATAGATCAGTCTTTTCACAAAGTAAAGCAAAACGAGAGATCATAGAGATGCAGCCCACAGTATATACTGGTACGTCTTGTGTTTATATTTAGTTGGGGTTGCAATGTATCCTGAAGGACATGCTTTACTGTTGATCCACTTAAACTGGGGGCGAATTAAGAACATTAGCACTAAACACAAGTAACATAGGCCTGGACATCATTATAAACTGCTCTTACAATACCTGTTCAAAAGCTAACAGTATAGCTTGTTCATCCAATTGAGCAGTCGATAAAAACCCAGCAAGAGAAAGACATCAAACATAAAAATGCCATTATTGAGTTGGCCTAAAGAACATTACCATGTCCTAAAACCTAATTCTCATCATTAATAAAGTTTTGAATTTTTTAATCAAATAATCAAAATTTATAGCGAGAACACTTCAATGGGAACTTAGAGATTAAAATGCATACCCTAGATAAGCTGCCAAGATTTTTGAGGCAAACAGGAACCCACGATTATGCAGTAGAGTGCCATCCATTTTCTCCAATTACCATGCATGCTTATCCAATGCTTTCTTGACTAATTAAGCCCTTCGAAGTAAGCCACGCCTTTCAATATTTAGTTGACCCATCATTTCTTCCCAAATGAAGGCGTACTCTAGAGTAGCTTCACTGGTATCTAAAACCATAATCCAATGCCATCCCATCAGGTTTCAACATCTAAAAAGCCAACCCATTTCACTTCGTAGTCCAAATAATAAAAGAATTTGATCACAATTTATCTTGAATATATAGTATTTGTTTTCGTAACAGCACATGTAGAATTCATTGCATATAATCTGTTTTCGTAATACTTGCAAAAAGAAGACTAGCATCTTAAAGCATATGTTTAGTATCCACATTTAGCAACAGGTAAGAAATCAGAAGAAATTATATGAAATCAAAACAAGTGTGTTCAGGATCAAATCTAATTATACTATATAATACCTTACCGGTTGTTGTTTCCGGTGGAGTCGCTGCTATTGCTTCTGGAGGCACTGCTAGTGGTGGTGGAATCGTTGTTGCGGTTGATTGCCTCGGTGGTGATGAATTCTGGGTGGTGAGAATAGAGAATGGACAAGGAGAAAAACAATATATATAAAAGATAGGGCAAAAACAAGAGTAAAAATTATGTGCATGATTTAATTGTAATTTAATAAAAAGTGAAAGTTCATTTTTGTCAGAAAAAAAATTCATTAACTTTAAAAAAAGATGGAGAAGCGTGTTTTGCGCTTCTTTTAGGGTTGTTTGGAACACGGTTTAATCTGAGTTACTAAAAATTTAAATTTTTTTTTTGTTAAAATTAAATGTGATTTATATTTTTTAGATCATTTTGATATGCTGATGTTAAAAATAATTTTTAAAAAATAAAAAAAATATCATTGACATGTATTTCGACATGAAAAGTTATTTGAAAAGCAATCGCTACTGTACTATCAAACACGTGAATAAAAATTTTTGAAAAACATCTTTTTAGATGTTTTCCAACCTGAAGCTATATTATGGAAAATTTTTAAAAAAAAAACAGTTTTTTTTTTCTAATTTGTAAAAATATAACATTTGAACACAAACTTCGATTTTCATGTTTCTTTTTCTTTTTCTTTTTTTTCCTAAAAAAATTTAGACTAAAACTCCGTTACTATGCAGTTGACTTTGCTACAGTAACAGCTGCCTTTTGGTTGATTTTTAATGTCGTTGTCGGTAAAATTATAATAAAAAAAAAATAAGGGTGGTCAGTGAAATACAGTGGAATGAGACTTGTTACACATTGAATTGCTACGGTGTAAAGCCAAGAAAGTTAAAAACATGGATTAAAATTATCTTTTTACATGATTCAATTTACATTATCAATTTAAATAAGGGTTATCCCATCTCTTCACATTTTTTTTTCCCGAGTAAAAATATTAATTTACCCTGAGTTGTGTATCTATAAAGTTAATTTGGGTTGGTTCAAGTAGTTTTTTTCTATTATTTTTTAATTAATTAATTTATTTAACATTTAATTAATTAAAAATTAACTTTCATAATTTAATTTCTATAAAATCATCATGTTTATGACCCATGATATAAATTTAACCCTCACCAATTTAATATGTCCCTGTCTCCTTACTTGGAAAAAATGTCACCAAATATGTTGTGCTGTCAATGTTTACAAAAGATGCCATACAACATATATTATATTTTAAATTTATAATTAAATTTTTTATCTTAAAAACATATTAACAACACTTAATTTTTTTTATATTAAAAAAATCATTCAAAGCGTTAGACAATAATCTAATTCTAAAATAATACATGCTATCGATTTGTGAAGAGGCTATAGATATTTGGTTATCCAGCCAAAATGAAAACAAAATAAAAATTGTTGAGTTTTTTTTTTTTGTTTAAAAATAACTTGTAAACTAATAAAAATCAGAATATAGTAGGTGGTTGTGTAAGCGAGATTATAATTACGGTTGTTTTTTAAAATATTTTTTATTTAGAAATATATTAAAATAATATATTTTTTTATTTTTAAAAAATTATTTTTAATATCATTGCATTAAAATTATCTAAAAATATATTAATTTTAAAAAAATATATATAAAAACAAACATGGCCGTTGAAACTTTTTAAAAATTTGGGAAAACAGCATGCAAAGTTATGGTGAGAGTATAAAACATGTTGCAAGGGGAGAGAATATCCGTTGAAATTTGGGTTCACAGTTATTCAATAGCAAATCTCGTATTTTTTTGTAAATCCCCGTGCTACGCATTTACTTAAATCATCCCAGTAGCATTCTAGAAGCCTTGAAACTTCCAGTCTAATCTCTCGCCTACTTTCTTACACCTCGAGTCATGTTTATCCATCCAGTTATCCATGTTGATATTTTTGACGGTTTTTTTTTTCTTTCTTTTTAGGTGTTTTTTAAAAACTTTTAGTTTAAAAAAATATTAAATTAATATATTTTTTTTATGATTTTAACGTATTAATATTAAAAATAAAAAAAATCTAAAATTTTTAAATTTAATATATTTTCAAGTAAAAAATTATTTTAAAAAATATTTTGAACTGCTGTATCAATGGTCAAATTTTGCATATTACCCTATATCTATAAAATAATAGAGTTCTATAAGGAGTTTTACTGTTTATTTAAATAATAAAACATATAAATATATTTGTTAAATTGACATGATAGTAATTTCATGTTATAGCTTAGTTGGTTAGCATGAAACTGAGATGAGAGGTCACGAAATTCAGATAAACAACTAGTGATTTTTTTTCCAAATAAATAAGGTGCGAAAAATAAAGCAAGCCCCGCATGTGCCTAGCCTACTACTCGTGGGCAGGCATTGGACTCTACTCTTCTTTTCTCTTTTTTTTTTTTTTTTTTTTTATTGTTATCTTGTTTGGTTTTTTTTTGCACTTATTTTTTTTTTAATTAAATTCACTTACATTCTAGTTTTAACATGTTTTCTAAATAATATTATAAATTTTAATTTGAATTCTAATATATTATTTTAATTATCGTGTATCTGATATGAAATCAATAATACTCCATTATTCCTTTGCTATCCATGTTGTCGTTGTTGTGATTTTTACGCCCTTTGAGAGTATTAAAAAACAACTCTGATCACCTTCACGGATGTAGAGAGGAGAGGAACAAAGACAGTTGATGGCCGAGAGAAAAAAACACAAAGATAGGCTCCTTTTACATGTTTAAAGTGGAGTAATGATTGGTTTTTAAAGTATTTTTATATTAAAATAAATATTTTTTATTTTTTAAAAATTATTTACAAATCAGCACATTAAAACTATTTAAAATATAAAAAAATTATTCTTTTAAAATACACCAATTATATCACATTTCCAGACATCCTGACAAAGCCAACTCACCAACTGTTTTTAATTTTCTAACCACCGTTGAAGTAGCGGTTTAGGTCTTTAGCATTCAAAATGTAGTCTTATCCGCTCCTCTATGCCTTGAATCGTGTTCATCTATCCATGCCGATGTGTTTGTGTATTTATCAACCTCATCTCAGATTGGCTTTTGTATATTATTTATACTAATTCACGTTTCTAGTTTGGTAAAAAAAAATTATCCATTAGCAATGATTTTTTCTTTTCAACTACGTTTTTTTTTTAATTATTTTTTTTAATGTTATTTTTTTTTATTGTTTAATGCACAGTTATTAAAAATATTTTTTTAAAAAATAAAAATAATATTATTTTGATATATTTCCAAACAAAAAATATTTTAAAAAAACAACTTATACCATAATTCTAAACACTGATATTGAAGGCCTTGTTTAGCATTACAGCCAGCAATGCTATTGAAAATTCTTGATTTTTTTAGTTTTAAATTATTTTTTAATATATTTTGATTATTTTTTGATATTAAAAATATTGAACAAGT